AATGACATATTTTCTGAAAAGAGAAAAAAAAGTTTGATACTATAATTATATATTTTCTGAAATATATAATGTATAATTTTATTTTGAATTACCGTCAAACCTAGTCTCAATACGATGATAATATTAAAAATGTTCTCGTAGTATAGGTTCCGAGGTACACATAGTATGATATATGATTTATGTGTTTCACACACTCTGTTTTAACGAAATGATAGTAGTTCAGTTGGCGCTAAAAAATTGAGCAGGTGAGGGTGAGTGCATGTGTTCGATCCTTCTCAGTACTATCTTTGGAAGGAATTTAAAGCCTTAAACTGTAAACTCATCTTGAATTGAACTAATTGCAAAGTGATAAATCGATTAAAATATCTAAAAAAAAAAAAAATAACGTGCTTCGCATGCGAAATGAATTGTTAATATGGTTCTATAAATATGTATGAGAATTTAGGGGGGGAATGATTGGAATTCTTCCTTTACAACTAGTTCATATGTATGTAAGATATAGATATTACTTCTAAAAGTTGCTGCAAATTAAAGTGCAAAACTATGTATAGACTTCTCATGAGCAAGTACATCGTTAAAGAGATCTCCTATGATATTTTGAAAGATTTGTCACGCAACTTGTCTAGATTTCTCATAGCGCAAGGGTCACTCAAGCTAGGGTTATGGGAGACATTGTGATCATCCGATCTACCCTGAATGAGGGGGGAAGAATGTGAGCAAGGACATGTGAGTTGTACTGGCCAGCTACGTAGCACTAATACTTACACGGAACACGTGACATGATACGACACGACACTCCGACACGTTAATTCTAAAAAATGTTAGATTTCGACATGTTAGGACACGTTTTGATATTAAATAATTTTTTTAATTTATGTAGTATATATTATATTTAATATTTAATAATTTAACAAAAAAATAATTTCTGAACTTATAATATTCATAAATTTCGCAAAGAAACATAAGATATCCCAAATATTTATATTAAACTCAATAAAATGGTAATCATAATCCAACGAATCTAATAGTTAGAACTAAAAACTCAACGGAATGTAACCTCTGAACCTTTTTTGAATTTCTATAACGCGTGTTAGAGCGTCGGGGAGTGTCAAAGTGTCCGAGAGTGTCGGGAAGTGTCGGACACGACATGTCAAAAATTTTGAAGTGTCGGTGTTTCATAGATGGCCAGCATCAATCTCGTCGTCCTTTGAATATATATATATATCAAGACTTAAACACGTGTCGAGGTCTGGAGACAATATCAATTCGCAAAGTTCAAGAAATGATATATTTACTTTCACATATTCCAAAACATGGAGCTCATTTTCGATACGCTCGAAGGGCATACTCATTTGCAAAAAATAAAAAAATATGGGATATGGAAGAAACAAAAATAGATAAAAAATAATATAAAAATATGATAAAGGTTATATTTATAATTTTTTTTTACAACCTCTTACAATCATATCTTAACATTGTTAATTGACGGAAATCAACGGTTATGATTTTTGCAAATTAAACTCATTAATTAATTATTAATTCACAATAAATAATAACCGTTGATTGGCGGAAATCAACGATGTTAAAATATGATTAAGAAGTTGTAAAAAAAGTTGTAAGTATAACCTTCCTCTAAAAATATTATGTTTTACTAATATCTGTTAAAAGATATACCGAGTTCACCGTACAAGAAGAATACAGATTTTTTTTTTTAAAAAAAAACATGATTAACTGCTCGTGTCTCGTGTGTGTATGTGTCTTGGCCGTTAACTTTCTAATCCCTCTTTATTGTTTTGTTTAAGTTCTTGTCATCCTCTTATACTCTTGTTCGGAGACGCATGTTTTACATGTCATTTACTGAAATTTTAGTGGTGAATCAACCAAAGTTTCATCACATCACAAATGGGATTATCTTACAGTTATACAAACAACACAAACCTATAAAGAGAAGTATACATGGGTATATCCTATCTTTAGCTCATTGATATCTGTCAACTTGATTACGGTCTCTTCGTTACGCGGTATTCTTCAAGATTTTCAAAAAATTAAATTTTTTTAAATTTTTAATTTTCGGATATTATCGTAAACTGAATGTAAATATCATATTTCTGAAAATCGAGATTCCCGAATAAATTTTTTTTCTCCTTTACCAAACGCCTCATCCTAAATATATATCATACTCACATACATTGAACCGTGACAATTTATATGGAGTGTATTATATATATATATATATATATATATATATATATATATATATATATAGTGGCGGATCCATTTGCGGGCAAATGCCCGCAAGTGCTGACATAAAGATTTTTATTTCAGTTTTTTTTATTGCAGGTCCTTATTTGTCTCTTGATTCAATATATATCCTAATAAATACCCTTTTAACACTAACAAAAAACATGGTCCCTATTTTAGTTCTTTACAAAAAAATAGTCTCGAGATCCCTAAAAAATTTAAAGTGGATCAATTTAGTTAAAATTGTGGTCCCTCATAAATTCAAAAAAGACCTACATTAATCCCTCAAAAGACTTCTGTACAGGTAGTGTTAACTTTTTTATTCACCACTATAAAATAGAATGATGATGTATGAATGTACTGGAGTATATTGTCATATTTGTTTTGGAGGATTGGTAAAAAAAAAATTTGGGGGGGGGGGAATAATTAGTCAAACTATTACCTGCAGCTTGTTATGGAAACAACTAGATTATGAGTGGGTTCAAGCGTTGATTTAAACTTTCTTTACAAATTTTTTTTTATGAGTGATGACATTAAATGTTCTAGTTATGGAAGCAACTAGAACCCCCGCCATTAAATGTGCGGACATAAAAACATTTTCCTGGGTCCGTCACTATATATATATATAGAGGTAAAATCATTTCTGCAGCCGCTTTACGTTCAGCAACGACAGGTGTATGGTTATGATTCCCCTCATCTAATGCTTTCATCTTTTGTATGATTATGATTCCCTGAATTTAATGCTTTTACGTATATATATATAACAAATATTTGATTGCTGCACGTACAACAACTGCAGAAATATAAACCCCATGTATATATATATATATATATATATATATATATATATATATATATATATATATATGGGGAAGGATCCGTTTACAAACTTTTTTAAATTTTTTTTACAAATTACATTATGTTCTCCCGGGAGAAGATACTATTATTAGTCTTCTCCCGGGAGAAGATAGTGTAGTTTGTAAGAGTTTGTAAACAAAAAAGTTTGTAAATATAACCTGCCCCTATATATATATAACAAATATAAATCAGATTCGTAGGGTCATATTCTTCATCATTGCTAACCTTATTGTTACCCTGCTGAAATCACTCATCGCCCAGCCATACCTGTGCCTTACACTTTCCCTTTGATTCCCAGCTTGCCTGAGACTTTTACGGTGACCACCACTAAGCTATAATTCACACTATTATCTCATTTAGTCACTGTTACATTGACATACTTCTCCTTTCGAGAAAAATATCACCCTTATTGCCCCTTTTACAAGTGATTAGTGTGCTTGCCTCACACACAATGAAGTCCGTTAGGAAAAAACTGTCATGACTTATAGTGAAGGAATGTTTCCACCTATATACATTCCTTTTCAGCTATTGAAGTACACACTTATTTTTAGAGTTGTTATGTTGCTAAGATATTATCTCAGAGCCACTGTACCCATATATTCCCCTTTATTCTTGGCTTATGCTTGAGACACTACCTATGATGACTTTTTTTTAGCTTTGGTTCATATCATTGCCTCACATGTCATTATTACATTGAGATACTTCACCATCATCAAGTGAAATACATATTATCTCCACTATCTAAATCGTTTAGAATGCAATAATAATTTCAATTATGGATATATATAAAAATCAAATTTTAATATTCGCAAATGTTAAATACTTTTTGATTTGTTAAACATAATATATGTTGAAGGTTTAATGATGTAAGAAGTATAAATGTTATAGTAATTTTATCTGTTGATTCTACTAGCATTCAACAAATTTAATTTATTACCTATGTGAGTCGTTAACTATAAATAAGATTATATGTATGAAAATAGATATTGGACTTTTGAAGGAAATTCCGCTATTTAACAACTTAAGTTTTTTGGTTGAATGAATTGTTTTATGGGGTTTACACTTCTTATGTGACATAAGATGAGAATTTTTGCAACACACACAAACTCAGGTGGGCCCCATTGGAAAATGGTAAATAAAAAAATAAAAAATATTGACACGCAAAACGATGTGAGTGTAGCATAAGAAGGCTCTTCTTATGTTGCATAAGAAGTATAAATCCCTTGTTTTATATAGTATTAGAGTTTTATGACCAAGCGATCTAGAGTTTGATTTTAATTATCTCATTCCATTAATAAATAATTAAATATTATCAAAAAAATTATGACATGTGGATGATCTTGTACATTATACAAACTTCAAACGCAATGAACTCTTGTATGAGGTGATATGTTAAAAAATATAAATCATTTAAAGATGTATTAGGTAAGAAGAAGGTTATATTTATAACATATTTTCTTTTATAACTTTTTACAACTATTTTTATAGTTGTTGGATTAAAATTAAATCAACGATTATAAAATAATTTTAAATGAAAGTCGTTGATTTAATTTTTATCCAACGATCGTAAATGTGATTGTAAGGAAAAAGAGATTGTAAATATAACCTCGTTCATTAGACAAATATAATATAAAATATGAAAGTGTTACTCAATAAAATAATGGTAACTCAGTTGATGCATCAGAACTAAACAACATATATTGGATCCTAAAAAAAAAACTTCAAAAACCGAATCACTTAAACATCTTCAACTTTTGGACTGAATTAATTATTTTTTAATTGCACCATCACAAAATAAGTCCGTTGGCCAATTAAAATGTAGCCAAATTAAATCGCAGTTATTCTGCCTATATATGTTGCAGCATACATTGGCAAGACTTTCATTCATAGACTAAAGAAGCATGTCTGATCATATTCACACCTTACCCCCAAAACTATTTGGTTTCCCACTAACAAAGCACGAAGAATTTGCAGAAAGAAAATATGATGTTGGAGAAGACAGAAAATTCAGGTGCCACTTTTGCAGGCGAGTATTCACAAACTCGCAGGCCCTAGGGGGCCACCAGAATGCTCACAAGAAAGAGCGCCAAAGGGCGAGGCTTTTCCAAATCCAGAGTGACCATAGCCATAGGCGCTCCATAGCTTCTGCCTCTGCCTCTGTCCTCACCTCACATGCATTGAGATCACCGCAGACATTACCCTCCACCTTTGATCATCCCCAACAATTGCAATCCAACACAAAGCACTTCCCATCACGACCTATTTTGATTCCTTCTTCAACCTATCGTACTACTCCATTGGTTACTTTTCAGCTTTATCCGTCACCCACTGTACTGCAATCTGCTCCTAATGTCGGTGAATTTTCTGGTAAACTTCCCGAGAGGGATGTCGGTGTTAATGTTGATGTCCATCTCAAATTGTCTCTCTCAGATTGATTAGCAGTGTTTCTTGATTTTTAAGCCTTTTATTTTATTTTGCTAAGATTATGAACTTGCTTAACCAATTAAGATCGAATCAACAATAATTTCGAGAGTAGGAGACACTCCAGTGGTAAATTCCCTGTCTTCATGTTTCTTTTTTGTACTGGTTAAACTTGCACTGAAATACGAAAAATTACTTTTTAGCTTATAATTCTTGCATTGGGAGTAATCCTTATACAACAGTATTCACATTATTGTATGAGGAAAATAACTAATTCTTATGCTGGAATCAAAGTGGTATATAAGGCAACTGATGATAAATTTTACCTCATGGCATCCAATGTACGCATCCCCCTGTACACAGGTAGTAAAATGAGTCGGCCCCGCTTCACCGCTAACTTTCTAAAACCGGGTTGGCCCGCCCAGCTCCATATTTTAATATTGGTTAAAAACTTTAACTCATCCTGTTTTATGGTGGGTTGGCAGGTTAATTCGTCTAAAAAATAAAATAAAAATAAAAATTAAGAATAAATTATATTTTATTAATTTATAATATTACTTATTTTTATTTTAGAGTTCTATTAGTTTTTTTTTCAATCTCAAGCCTAATTGTATACTAATATTCAGTTGGACAATTTTTAAGAACTTATTTTTGCCTCCATATATGGATAATTTTTGTCATAAATAAAGTTTTTATTCTTTATTTTTTTAGGGGAGTACTACGATAAAAAAAATTCATATCACAAAAGCTTAGTGACAAATAAAATACTACCTAATAATACAAAAAAAAGAATAACCCGCAGGCTAACCCTCCCCATCCCACTGCCATTCCGTTTTGACCTACAACTAAGCGGGACGAATTGAGATGAGTTAGTGGATTAAAATGTATAACCTAATCTGTTCCATTTTGACGGGTTATCGATTTGACCCATCGAATTCAACTCATGTTGTCACTGTACCCTTATCGTGTACATAGGCGTTCTATTATAAAATGACCCAAAAGAGTGTAAAACAAAATTTGGCATTTATCCTTATGTTGAAGCTATAGAAATTAAGCATGTTAACATCAACATCATCTTTATTTCAAATTAATTATAATAAATGATAGATAAATTTAAATAAAAAGTAAAAAAATAAAGAAAAAAAAGATAAAAATAAAAATAAAAATATATGTATAATACTAGAAATGAAAACATAATCATAACTAATTTAGAAGAAAAATACAATAAAATAAAATCAAAGATACATAAGAGAAAAAAAAAGATAAAAATAAAATCAAAATAAATAAAAAGTATTTTAAGAAATAAAGACAAAAAAGAAAATAAATAAATTACTAAGAAAAAAAAATATAAAAGGAAAAAAAAATGAAATATGAATAAATTAACACATATCAAACAAAAAAATAAACCAATTTGGCTAGCATAGACTTGTCCTTGAAGCCCCCCCTCTTCTATTAACTTCAGATTGTGTTTGCTAGGAAATTTTTTTTAAAATTCTCAAGAGGAGTGGCGGTGATAATTTTATTTACTCGTGTTTGGTATAAGATTTTTAAAAAAATTCTCGAGAATTTGATTTTTATAAAATTTTATTTTATGTATAATTTCTTTTCAAAATGTCATCCAAAATTATTACCAAATGGGTAGTATTTTTGGAATCTCATATATTGAAAAAAAAATTATACTTTTTTTGAGATAAAATTTCAGTAATATTTTAACCTATTAAATAATTTTTTGATAATAGTTTAGAAAAATAACTTTCCTATCGTATTCCTAAAATTTATAATTCCAGTGCAAAAAAAATTTATCCCCTCGTTGCCGATCATTCCATCTAGTTTGTTCATTGTTGTGTTTATGTGTGGTCTCGAGTCATCCATGGCTGATGACATCTTTTTCGCAAAGTTAATTATTCCATTGGGATTCGTATGCAAAACGAATCATCACACGTGGATTTTGAAGCCAGCGGAATATCTTTTTGCTCTCCGAGTACATAAATTTTCAGATAAAATTTTAAAATTACAAAATTTGCTTACAGAACCAACAAAACAGACAAAACACATGTTTGGTTTAAGTTTGTTTTTTAAGAAAGTATTTTTTTTAAAAAAATTCTGTAAAAAAGTTAGTAAAACAAAATATTTAACTCTAAAATAAATTAATAGATACAATAAAAAGTAAGTCATGGGTTTTACTACAGCAACGTTACTGCTGCAGCATGTGTGTGTGGCAATTCTCTTTTTTTTTTTTATACATTAAAAATTAAACTTAACTTAATATTAACTATCCAAATTCCAGACCATAGATACATGAATCCTAATGAATTTCCTCTTTTTCATTTTTGAATAAACCAAAAAAAAAAAAGTTTTATTAAAAAAAGAGTTCATTACTTTTTAATGAGGGAAAGTACCATTCCAGATTCCAAGCAAAGAGGCCACTTTTCAAAGATCAAAACATTGCACATTCCTCGCCATAGCACAGGATTCGGTGCTTCATTATATCTTCTTCCCATTATACCCCTTGAACTCAATTCGTTCTCGAAAGTTCCAAACCCCAACACCTCTCTTACCGCAGCTCCCCTCTACTTCAAAAATAAAGCCCCTACACTCCATTCCCTTCCTCAGCAGCAGAGATCCGACATGGATGGGTACGAGTCGGGTCACCGCCCGTACAGAGGACAAGAGGTTGTGAGCGGGAAAAACTTCGGTTCGAGTGGGACTGGGTCGCCCGACCCAACTCAGGGAAGCGAAAAGCCTTGGAGATTCAGCGATCCTGAAGCGAAGAGGAAGAAGAGGATAGCCAAGTACAAGGTTTACGGCGTAGAAGGCAAGGTTAAGGCCACGCTCCGGAAAGGGCTCCGATGGATCAAGAAAAAGTGTTCTCAGATCGGCCATCGCTATTAGTACAACTACTAAACTTGCTGAGAAGAAGCGAGAACATGCCACGTCAGATGCTGTTATGCTGATGTGGCAATATCTGGATGTTGAGACTTTCCCCAGCACATCACCAGAAAAGGAGAAAAAAGTATCTTTTCTGTTCTTTTTCCTTTTCTTTCTTTCACTTCCTTTTGATTCTTTGCCCTTTACTCAAACAACTTTAATTGTTGATGATGGAAAGAAAAAAAAAAGTAGTCTCTATCATGTGGACTAACTTGTTTGGTAAATTTTGAAGAATTTGAATTCTGTCGTGCTCATTTTGAGAGGAAGATACAAGAATAAGTTTGATAAATTTGAGATAAATAATTGGGAGTTTTACTATAATAAATTTGTTCTTATAATAGGGTGTCTAGTCATAATGGGGAGCCCCTTAATTAATTAATTGGCATATTTTATGACCAATTATTACTCCGTGAACTATCTCACATTTTTCTCTAATTTCGGGTATATTTTATTAAGTTCTATATCCCTCGAGATATATACTTAGCCCCTTAGCCTGGGGAGCTCGTATAATTTAGTTCTATTCGACCCCCCAGTTTAAGAAACTCGATCAATTTGAGTTTTCTAAACTTGAGCTAAGATTTATTAAGAAATGCCTTTGGCCAATTTATACTCTGTCGGGTGGTACAACTTTTAAATTATTAAAAAATTATAATTGAGATATAATTGAAGCGGTTCTTACCATTGAGTTCTTGGACATGTTTTAACATGGCTGTTTTGAAATAATAATCTAATAGATAATTATTAAAATATTTTCATAGGTATGCAATATTCGGAGATCAAAAATTTGATTTTTTCAGAAGTTAAAAATTTTAATTTCTAAAATAATAAAAGTTAAAAGTCAAATATTTTTTTAAAAATCTAAATAGTTATAACTTTTATAAAAAATACTTTTAAAATAAGAAAGTCATAAAAAAGACTTTTAAACAAGTCAATACAAACGGGCTCTTAATAGGTGACCTCTCCGGACAAAAGTCCCACTGGACTTTTAGGTCCGTTTGGCATGTGGGAATATTTTGGTTTGACGGGAAAAGTGGGGTAGAAAATATTATTTGCTTATGTTTAGTAGAAGGGAGAGTAAAAATTTTGTTGGGCAAAAATTATTCACACGAAATCATTTTACACAAGTAACCCAAACTAAATTGTCATCCAGGCATGGTAATGTTTTCCCATGTAATGGGAAAAGAGACATTAATTTCTCATACCAAATTATCTCGAGCCTTAGGTTTGATTGTCTGTTGTTGCTGAAGTATGAAACAACGTTGCTCTAAAGAATCGATGGAACTGAAGCTTGCATTTGCTTTGTGATACTCGCTACTTGCATTTGGGTACAGCAAATGAAAAAAAGGGTGAAAGAGAGAGTTGATAAAACTATGAAAGATAAGGGAAAGGGAAATATTAAAATAACATATCTAATAAGGTTATTTTTGTAAATTTGGTTTATATTGCCATCAATATTTTATAATTAATTAAATATAGTATCAGTAAAATTAATTTAATATTTTTCAAAAAAAATGGATCTACCAAACATCTTTTAATAATTTATCCACACAAAAAAAATTTACCATAATTCCGAAAATTATTTTTTTTCTGATAAAAAAAAAATCTCTTCCAAACAAAGCAATCAACTGTGGGCTTAAAAGTAGTGAAAGATGAATACCCGCTCACCCAGGATGAAGGCTTCGAGATGTATTGTACAGTTCCACATAAAATATTCATTATAATCTTTTTACATATTTTTTATGTTTTTTTGGGTAAAGTATATGGAATTTGCATCTATCATGTCACATGACACAAAAAAGTTTCCTATACTCAAAATATTTGTGGGACTCGCACTTTTTGAAGCAAAAAAAAAAAAAAAAAAATTTAAGGCACGCAAAACGAATCTCTATAACATTACACAATCACTTTTCCTACAACATAACTCTTATAAAACCCAAAGTATATTTATATGATTTAATAAGAAGATATTTGATATTTGTTAACAGTGCAATTCTCTTGAGAAACAACAGCATAATTTTTAATACAATCTTTTGCTTGATTATGCAACAATTATTTTCTAATTATTTTTCCTAATTTCATTGAAGGCCAAGGAAAGAAGCCTTACAGAGGAAGTTGCTGCTAATTAAAAGGAATATATATATATATATATATATATATATATATATATATATATATATATATATATATATATATATATATATATATATATATATGACAGATATTGTAACAATCAATTAGTGTTACTCTAATTAATTTTACTGTTAGATCGATTATGTTGATCCAATGGTTATATTTATTTTCATTTTTGTATGGTCATGATTCTCCACATTAAATATGGAGAATCATGACCATACAAAAATGAAAATAAATATAAAATATTAAATATGGAAAATCATGACCATACAAAGATGAAAATAAATATAAAATATTAAATATGAAAAATCATGACCATACAAAGATGAAAATAAATATAACCGTTGGATCAACATAATCGATCTAACTATGAAATTGATTGATGGTAACATTAATTGGTTGTTACAATATCATTTCCCTATATATATATATTAATAAAAATGAAGGAGTTTTGTCCATTATTTTTTCCAAAATCAATATAATATAGGACCATTTTGTTCGAAACAAGCGTCATAATGATGACAGAAATCATATATACCCTCTATTGTTAAGAATACATTCAATTCATTTAACCTCGGCCGATCATGTGGCGGGACAAGTAAGAGTGTAAGACTTAAGGCAAAATCAAGGTGCTTGATTCAAGTGCAAAACTGCATTACCCAATTCATTCCAAAAAAAATATGGAAACTACATTCAAGAAAAAAAAATTGAGATGGATTGATGATTATTGTTTTATAAAAAGAAATTGAACGTAGATACCAAGGAAACAACATCATAAGATCATCAAGCTAAATTCCCAAAAAAGACCAAAACTAAATAAGAAAAATAAAAGAAGTGAAAGGCACACAAACCCATGACATTTCCTTCCCCGTAACAGTTAATTTATTTAAAACGAAAATCACGTAAAAGAAACAGATAGTGATCACACACTCCTAATATGATAATAATTCCCCGCAATTAATCGAGATCACCTTAGTATACATTTTATCTTCATCTCTCTGTCTTTTCCCATCTCCGCTTGTGCATCCAGATGTTCTTGTCACGCAAACATAATAGTTGTATCTATTTGCCGTTCTAACTTTCCCCATCCAAAATAAAAAATAAAGAAAGAAAAGAACTTTTTTTTTTTTGGTATGGAAGAAAGAAAAAAACTTAATATATGTTTAAAGTTTTAAATTAGAGAATATTATTTCTCATATTACATTAAAAAAACGTGTCATATTCATTTTTTTGTGTGTTGCTCATGAGATAAATTGTGATGCAACATGAAAAATAATATTCTCTCAGATAAAACCAACATTAATTATAGTGCTCACGGAAAATAAAAGGACGTGAATATCTATGTCCGCGGGGATCACCATATTAACCCAATGACCTCTCACTTCGCTCTTTGTAAACACGATCGGTGAAACTCAAACGTTGCAACCTCATTTGTTGGTAGAACTGAGCAATGAACTCGTCAGCTTTGGCATCAATCATATCATCCCCATTATCGTGTTCTTTGCACTCCTCCAAAATCTCTCCATGCTTCTCGTTTTCCTCATCACTCTGCATGAGTTCGTTCAGCCCCTCGGCTGAAGCGTAACGTGTGCTGGGTGGAGAAGGCGAATAAGACTCATCCTCCGCTAGATAATCCGATGTTGCGGTAAGCGAAGGCGTAGGAGGCTGGCTATCGGTTTCAGAAAATGACCGTGGGGATTGACTGCTCTGTAGGTGCAATGGTCTCATGGACCCCACCATTTTTCTCCAAATGCTCTTGGACCCATCATCTACAGGAAGCACCCTTGATTTTCCGGAACGTCCTCGCATCCTCAAGAGTGCAACCTGAAAAACATTGACAGGAGCATTCTTCTTCTTTGGGGTTTGAAGGGTGGGTTTGGGATCATCATAAAGAGGATCCATGGCTGTGTTTGGGATGGTGATGGTGTCGTTTTCAGGGTTTTGTTCCATTGAGAAAACGAGAGCGAGGAGAAGGAGGACTTGAGGAATTAATCCCCCCCACAAGCAGGGGAGGATAGGAACCGAACATATTTATATAAGAGAAAGAAACTTCTAAGACCATTTGTAATTGGTGTATAAACAGAAACATAGACAGCGCAGGAGTACATTGGTGTGAGGTGTGGGTCCCCGTTGTTGAATCTTATATTTAGAGACATTCTAGTTTGTCTACGAATGGTTTCCCCTTTGCATGGTATTAAATGCCACGCGCGTATTGTTTGAATGACCAAAATAGCCACTCCTTTTAATATATATTTCTTGGAGTATTTATATATGTTTTTCTACTGGCATAGAAATTAATTTTTAATTTTACATAAAATCGATCTATTATTTTTTAAAAAATTTATATAGAGAGTGCATTCAAATAATTCATGATTGGATGAGAATAAATACTATTTTATTTCCACGAAATTTAAAGCAGTTGTGCGGAGGATCAACCTAACACAGCTATGATTCCTATTTAATAAAACTTATTAACAGAAATGACTAAAATACAAGAAACAAATACTAACTTACTTTTTTTTTTGGGTATAATATTAACAAACTTTAAGAATGAATTCATTGAAATTAAGGAGAATAACAGTAAAAAAGAAAAAGAAAATAGAGTGGAAATAAAATAAGGGGCAGAACTGTAATTGGAAAGGCGAAACGAGAATAACACAATGTTCGGGACGTTATTTGAGGCGAAGGATTTGGGTGGAACTGCCAAGAGTGACAGAATATGCTTTTCATTTCAAAAAAAAGAAGAAGAGAATATACTTTTTTTCGGAAACAATCATATAATCTGACGGCTGTAGTTTCTTTCCCAAATTATTGTGTAACTCTTACCTTCATTTTTTGGGAAATATGGCGCGGAATACCTTAGTTTACGAAAATATAAAAGGGATCAAGTGTTTATACTTTTAAAAAATATAGAATTGTATTGTTTTAATTAAAAATACTGTATTTTATGGGCAGATAAATAATTACACAATAAAAATTATGGTGGAAGAAAGTGAGAGTTTTTAATTTAAATATTAAATAAAATATAGTAGTTTTAATTAAAATAACTATCCTTTAAAAAAATAAATATTTTTCCTAATAAAAAAACTCAGTATAATTTTTGAAGAACCACAAATGTGGATTAAATTAGTTTTAATTATTAGAAACTTAATATATCGATCTTATATCTAAAGACTAATATAATTAATATTTGTTGGTCTTCTGGACATTAAAATATAGTTTTTACTTTTTCAAAAATTTCTCTGTTTGTCACTAATTTTCTTTTATACGAATTTAGATGATTAATCATAAAAAAAAATGCGTTGACTCAACTGATTAACATTCAAATGGAGTTGATTTGTCCTATCTTTAGATAAAAGAGTCTCCTCTCATTCCAATTTTTAAGAATACGCTTAAACTTATAGTATTTGCTTTTATTCGTATCTAATATATCACATAATTAATAAATTAAAACTTATATATGGTGTTTACCAATAAAAACAAAAAACTTATATATGGTAATAAAATATGGGGATGGTTATACTTACCACCAGGTAAGTTTATCACCCTTACCATCAATCTCACCATCGTTAGATTAAAATTAAATTTAACGGTCCATAATTATCTATTATAATCGTAATTTTTTCTCCCACATTCCCTTTGCCTTTCTCTCTAGGTTTCCATATCCTCTCTTCAAACTTTCGATCCTGCATTTGTTCCTAGGTAAGTTTGAGTTGAATTGGATGCTAATTCAGGTTGAGGAAAAAAAAGTTTTCGTTATGACTATTGATCTAGATTTATTTCTGTTAATTGGCCAAAAGTTATTCAGGAACAATTGGTCAAAAGTTCGAGTTGAATTGGATGCTAAACAATTGGCCAAAAGTTATTCCGTTCATTGCTCGCTCTTCATAATACTGGTGGGACGGGTCTTGTGAATTATTTTTCATTTTTTTGGTAATCCGTGAATACATTTTTTATTATTATGAACTATTATTTCTGTTAATCTGATCATCTTCCCTCAAAAGCGCACAACAATCGAAGAGAGGATGTGCAACGAGTTAAAATTAGTTGTCACAGAGAATCTATATCGAAAGGCCACAACAATTGAAGAGAGTATGAGAGACGGTATGGAAACTTAGAGAAAGAAAGACAAAGGAAATATGGGAAAAAATTAGGATTATAAGGAATAATTACGGACCGTTAAATTTAATTTTAATCTAACGATGATGAGATTGGTGGTAAAGGTGATAAACTTACCTGGTGGTAAGTATAACCGTCCCCATAAAATATATTTTAAATTACAAAAATCCACCTTGTAGTTAATTAGGGTCTTTTTCAAAAGACCACCTTATAGTGTTAATCCAAACAATTAACCCCCTTATACTATTAAATCACAATAATTAAACATGTTTTAAAAATTTAATACAAAGTACCCTTCTTCTTATCAATCATTTCATTAGCTACTTTTAGGATATCACCACTCTCCACGAGTCAAAATACCCCGTAGTACTCCATTTAATACAAATATGTTTATCTCATCTTTTGCTATTTATATTTCTAATTCACGTTTCTCCATTTAACGCGCAACATTCTTGCATTCTCTGGTGGCTTTGGAATTTTAAGTTACAATTTTTTTTTCTCTTTCAGAACTGGGTTTTGTTTGATTATCACATCGAGCTAGTTTTAATGGATTATCACAGCTCTTCCCATGCTTGCAAATTCTATTGGATTTGTGATGATGTTTTTGCTTCCCTCTCAATGTTAGTTTTAATGGATCTATTTTTTATTTAATTTTATCTAGCTAAGATTGGTTTCATGATGTAACACCCCGTAGTACTCTGGTTGTTAACATAAATGATATTTGGAATACACAACGGAAGACTTTATTTTAGAAGAATAATAAAACGTTTTACCAAAATACGAGTAAACTTTTTCCAAAACCTTTTATGAAAATATTTCTAAAAACGTTCACGTGAGATACTGCGAAAGCGTAAATCTAAACATACATGTACTAATTAATCCTATGAGCCAGTATTAGTGGTCATTGACCATCAAGATATGACATCAAGTGTCATTCCTGACGGAGTCTTATGGACAACATAACGGCTGTATTTCAGATAATTGGGGACATGGTCCCACACATACATTTAACCTGATTGATACTCTAATTTAAACAGATAGCTTGCAAGTCCCACACGGACTGCAATCCCCTCAATGGGTCAATACAAATAATAAGGCTTCATGCCCAAATTAACTGAATACATGCATCAAGTCTATATTAATTCAAAGTATAAAAGCATCAGTAAATAATCCATGACTCTAAGAATACAATCATGAGCCTAAATAAATACATACAATAATCTCCATAAAATAATTAAGCATGTTAACAAGTCTACATGCCAACATCAAATCTAAAAATAATATAAAATCATCAGCTGCATCAACAACTACTCCAATGCAGGGCCTTGCCCCTAGAGGCATCACCACTGCTCTGGGTACCTGAAATGATGTCCCCAAACGGGGTGAGATAACAACATCTCAGTAAGCTCAAGGTTCATAGAGGATCCTCTAATCCCCTGAGCTCACTTCCTGCATGACAAGTCAGATATAAAGTATATAATACAAACATACAGCATAAACATAGCATCATCATATCATCCTTGTGTAATCCCAGGGTCAAAGTCATAGACGGTTACACATGTGTAACTTCCAGGGTCAAGCCATAGACATTTACACCTGTGTGACTTCCAGGGTCAAGCCATAAACAGTCAACACAACCTCTGTATGATATAGCCCCCAAAGTCAAGTCATAGGCAGCCTACATACCATAATCACTGGCCATGATCCTCATAACATATATCATCAGTGCATCATCATAACATCAAGATCATATACATCTATATAAATATGAATGAATGCACATATACATCATACCATACATTCTCATACAATACAACCATAATGCCCACCATCATGGTGGGGCCACAATAGAGAGGAGTCAACTAGAACTAGGAGCTTACCTTAGGGAGCTTAGCACAAGCCCACACTCCTATATAATACGTATGCTCCAACTCAATCCTCAAGTGCACAGTTCCCTAAGCACACTTAGAGTAGGAACCATTCACATCATTAATTACATATTAATTAATCAAGCCATATTCACGACCTAATCATTTAATGATTCCATTTTTCATACTCGTATTACAATAATATGCTCATTACAAGTCTAGACTAATTATTACTTATACATATTTTAGTGCATTATTACATGTCACCTTAATCTTCAATTACTTACATAGCTTAGAATCACATGCAAGGCTCACTTAGGTAACTTAGATTATTTGCAACTCATCCAAGTCATATATATGATTATTATAAGTTACTAAGCTTTTTCCTAAGCCCACTTAGCTTAAATATCACTTTTACAGTTCTTCCATAACTTTACATGCTTTTGTTTTTCAGTCACTGAGCGCAACTCACTTGTTATAAAATTCTCATCTTTTAGTATGTTAATCTAGACTCAATTACCTTTCCAACAAGTTAGCACATGCCTAATTTGGAGTTTCCTAGCTTCGGTTATCATCATTTGAAGTTGGACAAACAAAGTTGTTTGCCAACTCCGAACAGAGCCCTAAACATCCTTTACCATTTCTATGATTCTGGAAAATATACTAAACTAATTGCTCTCAAATTTTTATGCAGCCAACAAGACACCTTTATATTTAATTCGAGATATTATGAGCCTAATTTTAGTAAGAATTAAGGGAGAAACAATTCGTGAAAGTTACAACCATGTACAGCCCCTGCACATGGCCTCCTTGTGCAGTCCTCACTCAAACAAACATACAGAATGTAATACATCTTCAATTGATACCAAATTTTGACACCACGTAGTTAACATCGTAAGCTTCAATTTGATATAA